TAGAGTTTTAAAGTTTCCAAAACAGTCACAGTTCTGTGAAAGATTCTTCATGGTATTCACTGCAGTCTAAGCTGGTTACACAACGTAACCACATACTCGTCCGTGTCAATAAACTGTATTCTCAAAAAAATTCAAGCAAATACATTTAGAGCGCGCACGAATGTATGAGAGCTCATGTCATGTATTAAGGTACTTTAACGATACAGGTGTTTAAATAACAAAGATCGTAATGTGTTTAAAGTATTTAATTAAATTGTACACTGATTTATATTAATATCAAAATGAAAAAAATAATAATAATAATCTTCCAGATTGCCCTTTTTAAAATGATTTGACCAGTTTGGTAAAATTTGTAAGAGCGCGTTTAAAAATTTCATTTTATAATTTTACATAATTTAATACTCTAAGCACAAACATCATCTATGAACTAACACTTGAATCTGTGTCATGATGACATAACATTATCTAAGATGATTTCAAAATCTATAGGAATAATTTTTAGTGCGATCCTAGTAGATAGATCTTGTTCACTAATTTAAGTAAATACAGGGTGGCAATAAGTCTGAAAACATGGGCTAACATACATAATTTATTGTTATTACACTGCAACACGCAATATTTTTTATTCTAATGTTCTCTATTTGTAGTGCATAGTTTGATGTACTGTGCAAAATTGCAAATTAACATCATGATGATGATGATGAATAAAATGTTCCAGACCTTATAATCACCCTATAAAACATACTGTAGTACATACCACTGGTTTAACTATCCTAATTAAATATTAAGTGTAATATTTTTAACAAGAGTTCATTGTTTAAAACAATAAATTTTCATAATTTAAACGAATATTTGAATTTAAATTTTGATTTATAAGATAAATCAATACATAATCAAATCATTGTATTGAAGATAGAAACAATTTGGCTATATAAATCCTCAATGAAATTTATCACTCTATTGATATTAATGGTTTAAGTACTGAAACTAATATGAAGATAAGTTATATATCTATATGTATTTATTTAAGACAGCTTAGAAACTATATCTGTACATAGGAACCGCTATGTTGACAGTGAACTTTGTTACAGACTAACTATTGTCGGTCTCTCTTTTGTAGGCGAGATTTCCTACAAAAGAGAGATTGACAATAGACCCCTATCAACACTTAATCATAAACATTCTAACAAATATCCCAGCATGAAACAATATATTTTAGACTTAACGAATCAATGTACAGTACAAAGTACAATGATTTAATAATACTAATTTTGTATAATTTAAAAGTTAAATAAAACATAAGCAGATTTTTAATTTATTAAACATTTTATTTTTTGAAAAACATTTTATAAACGTATTGCAAATTAAAACGAAACGGCATAAAAATTACAATTAAGCATAAGCATATTTACACAGCTTTTTTTGTTTTTTTTAAATACACAAATTGCTTACAAACAAACAGGCATTTTATATTTAACGTATGATTTGTTGTTTTCTTAAAATAGTGATGACAAACTGTAAACACGTTTCTAGGTTAATATAACATTTTTATAAGAGAAAAGGGGGGAAAGATGTGATTATGAATGACCAGAAAAATAATTGCAGATGAAAAAAATTTATTAAAAACTTTAATTTTTTTTAAAACATAAAAATACATCATAATCTATTCTCACTAATTTGTCTTGGGAAGTAACCCAAATATCACAAAAATTGTACAATAGTTTTAAATAAATCCACATTATTTCAACGTTTCTTTCACTTCTTTTGTATCTGATATAGCAAGTTTACCAATTGAATTCACTCGAAATGTGCTCAACACTGAATTGTTTGTTATATAATGCATGTTATAAATAATAACGAACGTTATATATAATATCATTTAGCTCTGTTTACAAGAGTAATATTGCACGATCTTGATTCAATAATATAAATAAGTTCGATTAACTGAACTGAGCTCCAAAAGCTTTAAAGATTTCAGTTAAAACTTGGGGATTATTATTATTATTTTTTTAATCTATCGTCGTACTTTCTTTCTTTATATATAAACAGTAAAAGAATTTTGTTTTAATTCACTTTAAACTACTATTTTTTTCACTTTTATACACTAATACATTACCCGAAAGTATTGTTTTCGATATGAAACATGTATTAACACTCAAAAGTATTATGAATTTAAACAATAACTTTTATACATACTTAAAAGGAGTAAGTTTGCATTCTAATTAATTTAGATTAAATCGTATATTAAACAAATATTATCGAGAATCGGATTTTATGGATTGACTGGTGTCCCGTTAACCGTCCCTTTATCCTACTTTTTAATTAAAAAAAGTGCAATGAAAACTCAGTTGAGAATATTGAGATGGGAAAAATGATTAGAGCCTTTTTTTTTTAATAAATAATATACAAGCTGTCCCAAAACATAGTTTACAACTTCAAATTTTTATATTATATGACTTTGAATTAACATAAGAATTTGATATAGTTTAAATTATGTTCCGGTTCAAAAAGATTTTTAAATTAATACATCATTGAGTAATCTTTCCTGTCTATTATAAATGAAAAGGTTTCAGAACACAATACATGTTTATTTATTTATTTTTTTATTTTGTACTGAGTCCACTTCAATAATTTGTGAATGTTTGTCAAACTTTTATATCTTAGTTTTTAAATTAAAGTTGTAAACTATCTTTCGGGACACCCTGTATTAAAACAATACAGTTGTTAAAAATCGTTCTGTTATTAAGTTACATGAGTCTAACAAATCTCTTGTATATAATTGCAATTTAGTTTAGGAATTTGCTTTAAATATTGTTGAATTCTATTATAACTTTCTCTCGCATGTCTAAGTTTATCCATTAATGCCCTATTGTCTTTTATTAATGATTCTTTTTCGTTTGAAAGCTGACTAAACTCTTTCTGCAAACTTACTATTTGATCTAATTTCCTTTTCCTACAATTTTGTGCTGCAACCTATAAATAAACTGTATTCTCAAAAAAATTCAAGCAAATACATTTAGAGCGCGCACGAATGTATGAGAGCTCATGTCATGTATTAAGGTACAGTACTTTAACGATACAGGTGTTTAAATAACAAAGATCGTAATGTGTTTAAAGTATTTAATTAAATTGTACACTGATTTATATTAATATCAAAATGAAAAAAATAATAATAATAATCTTCCAGATTGCCCTTTTTAAAATGATTTGACCAGTTTGGTAAAATTTGTAAGAGCGCGTTTAAAAATTTCATTTTATAATTTTACATAATTTAATACTCTAAGCACAAACATCATCTATGAACTAACACTTGAATCTGTGTCATGATGACATAACATTATCTAAGATGATTTCAAAATCTATAGGAATAATTTTTAGTGCGATCCTAGTAGATAGATCTTGTTCACTAATTTAAGTAAATACAGGGTGGCAATAAGTCTGAAAACATGGGCTAACATACATAATTTATTGTTATTACACTGCAACACGCAATATTTTTTATTCTAATGTTCTCTATTTAATGTAGTGCATAGTTTGATGTACTGTGCAAAATTGCAAATTAACATCATGATGATGATGATGAATAAAATGTTCCAGACCTTATAATCACCCTATAAAACATACTGTAGTACATACCACTGGTTTAACTATCCTAATTAAATATTAAGTGTAATATTTTTAACAAGAGTTCATTGTTTAAAACAATAAATTTTCATAATTTAAACGAATATTTGAATTTAAATTTTGATTTATAAGATAAATCAATACATAATCAAATCATTGTATTGAAGATAGAAACAATTTGGCTATATAAATCCTCAATGAAATTTATCACTCTATTGATATTAATGGTTTAAGTACTGAAACTAATATGAAGATAAGTTATATATCTATATGTATTTATTTAAGACAGCTTAGAAACTATATCTGTACATAGGAACCGCTATGTTGACAGTGAACTTTGTTACAGACTAACTATTGTCGGTCTCTCTTTTGTAGGCGAGATTTCCTACAAAAGAGAGATTGACAATAGACCCCTATCAACACTTAATCATAAACATTCTAACAAATATCCCAGCATGAAACAATATATTTTAGACTTAACGAATCAATGTACAGTACAAAGTACAATGATTTAATAATACTAATTTTGTATAATTTAAAAGTTAAATAAAACATAAGCAGATTTTTAATTTATTAAACATTTTATTTTTTGAAAAACATTTTATAAACGTATTGCAAATTAAAACGAAACGGCATAAAAATTACAATTAAGCATAAGCATATTTACACAGCTTTTTTTGTTTTTTTTAAATACACAAATTGCTTACAAACAAACAGGCATTTTATATTTAACGTATGATTTGTTGTTTTCTTAAAATAGTGATGACAAACTGTAAACACGTTTCTAGGTTAATATAACATTTTTATAAGAGAAAAGGGGGGAAAGATGTGATTATGAATGACCAGAAAAATAATTGCAGATGAAAAAAATTTATTAAAAACTTTAATTTTTTTTAAAACATAAAAATACATCGTAATCTATTCTCACTAATTTGTCTTGGGAAGTAACCCAAATATCACAAAAATTGTACAATAGTTTTAAATAAATCCACATTATTTCAACGTTTCTTTCACTTCTTTTGTATCTGATATAGCAAGTTTACCAATTGAATTCACTCGAAATGTGCTCAACACTGAATTGTTTGTTATATAATGCATGTTATAAATAATAACGAACGTTATATATAATATCATTTAGCTCTGTTTACAAGAGTAATATTGCACGATCTTGATTCAATAATATAAATAAGTTCGATTAACTGAACTGAGCTCCAAAAGCTTTAAAGATTTCAGTTAAAACTTGGGGATTATTATTATTTTTTTTTTAATCTATCGTCGTACTTTCTTTCTTTATATATAAACAGTAAAAGAATTTTGTTTTAATTCACTTTAAACTACTATTTTTTTCACTTTTATACACTAATACATTACCCGAAAGTATTGTTTTCGATATGAAACATGTATTAACACTCAAAAGTATTATGAATTTAAACAATAACTTTTATACATACTTAAAAGGAGTAAGTTTGCATTCTAATTAATTTAGATTAAATCGTATATTAAACAAATATTATCGAGAATCGGATTTTATGGATTGACTGGTGTTCCGTTAACCGTCCCTTTATCCTACTTTTTAATTAAAAAAAGTGCAATGAAAACTCAGTTGAGAATATTGAGATGGGAAAAATGATTAGAGCCTTTTTTTTTTAATAAATAATATACAAGCTGTCCCAAAACATAGTTTACAACTTCAAATTTTTATATTATATGACTTTGAATTAACATAAGAATTTGATATAGTTTAAATTATGTTCCGGTTCAAAAAGATTTTTAAATTAATACATCATTGAGTAATCTTTCCTGTCTATTATAAATGAAAAGGTTTCAGAACACAATACATGTTTATTTATTTATTTATTTTTTTATTTTGTACTGAGTCCACTTCAATAATTTGTGAATGTTTGTCAAACTTTTATATCTTAGTTTTTAAATTAAAGTTGTAAACTATCTTTCGGGACACCCTGTATTAAAACAATACAGTTGTTAAAAATCGTTCTGTTATTAAGTTACATGAGTCTAACAAATCTCTTGTATATAATTGCAATTTAGTTTAGGAATTTGCTTTAAATATTGTTGAATTCTATTATAACTTTCTCTCGCATGTCTAAGTTTATCCATTAATGCCCTATTGTCTTTTATTAATGATTCTTTTTCGTTTGAAAGCTGACTAAACTCTTTCTGCAAACTTACTATTTGATCTAATTTCCTTTTCCTACAATTTTGTGCTGCAACCTATAAAAAAGAAAAGAAAAATAATATAATAAAATATTTAATTTCTTATTAATTTATTAAGAAAATGAGTCGACCCCCTATAACATTGTTGATTTTTCCATTTTATATGAATTCCATGTTGTACGAGTCACTTAGATTTTACAAATACGTGTGCCGGGCTGTGAACGGCTCACGTATTTGTAAAATCTAAGTGATTCGTACAACA